CCACTCACCTTAGCCTCCCAAAGGCGCGGGATTACAGGCTGAGCCACCGAGCCCAGGTTTCCTCAGTTCTTTTCATTAAAATTTGCTCTTGTTCACAGATGCATTATTCTTTCTTATCTTTTTTTTTTAGTCAAGGTTTCACTCCATTGCCCAGGCTGGTGTGCCATGGTACAATCACAGCTCACTGTACCCTCAAACTCCTGGACTGAAGCAGTTCTCCCACTTCAGCCTCCCAAGGGAGGAATCACAGGCACACACCACCACATGGACTAATGTTTTTTTTTTCTGTAGAGAGGAAGTCTCTCTACGTTGCCCAGGCTGGTCTCAAACTCCTGAGCTCAACCAGTCCTCCCACCTTGGCCTTCCCACAGTATTGGGATTGCAGGTGTGAGTCACTGTACCTGACCTCTTTCTTATCTCTACGAGGATATTCAGTTCACTTAGTTAACAGAGTCTCATTGCCCCGTTCATTGAGTCCCCTCTCTTGTTTTTCTTGCATGATGCTGGTGCTCCTCAAATATCTAGTGATTCTCAATAGTAAGGTTATCTTGTTAGTTGATCTTTCTTGCTAGAAGATAAAAACTTCTCCTTTTTTTTTTTTTACAAGATAAGAGTGAAAATTTGAGAACTACTGGGAGACTCAGGACTGCATGTGTGTGCTCTGTGTCAGTCCAACAGAGGTAGCCCACGGGCTCTTCAGCAGGTGACCCTGTGGCTGTATCACAGGGGTGATATCGGGATGTGCTCACTCTCCCAGTTTTTGCTGACAGTCGCGGTGCTTTTCTCTTTGTTATTTAAATTTAAATGGAATGTCCCCTCTTTGAGGCCAGATTATCAACTTTGGGGATTTCATGGAGGAATCTGTCATCTCAGCTGAGCCTCTCTCTGTCAAGGTGCCTATGGAGAACTACAGAGAATTAAAGTTTTCTTGAGTGTTGGCTTGATTGAGCAGAGTGGGAAGGTGAACTTCCTTCATGTCAGCATCCCTACACACACGCGCGCGCACACACACACACACACGCACGCACACACAATCTCTGCAGCCGTTCATAGGAGGAACAGTATGACAGGTAAGATGTGGCCATATAAAAATGACTGTGTGATATGGGACAGAGTCTAGTCACCAGAGTAAAGAGAGATCTGGTTGAGAGAATCAGGAAAAGGCTCTTGGACAGCCAGGTGAAAGGTGAAACCTGGACAGGTGAGCTGATGGATCAAGGTGGGCTGGGCAGGAAGACAGAGTAAGAAAAGACTTAGGTTTAAGGTAAAGACCATATTGAGGAGGATCCTAAATACTGGATATTATCTGTAACTAAATCTAGCTGTTGGGGGTTTTAAATGTCTTTTGAAGCCGAGTTCGGTGGCTCAGCCTGTAAGTGAGTGGATTGCCTGAGCGCGGTGGATTGCCTGAGCTCGGTGGCTCAGCTGAGGTGAGTGGATTGCCTGAGCCCGCGGGTTCGAGACCCGCCTGGGCAACTTGGT